CTGTGGCTGAGTCATTGCAGCTGTGGCTCCAGACACTGTGAGCATAGAGAGATCTTTCCCAATGTGCCCTTTGCAAATTCCTGACCCACAAAATCATGAGATAATAAAATAATGGTGATTGTTTAGCACACAATTTTTGGATTAGTTTTTTACTTTTTTTTTTTTTTTTGAGCAGGAGTTTCGCCCTTGTTACCCAGGCTGGAGTGCAATGGCGCGATCTCGGCTCACCGCAACCTCCGCCTCCTGGGTTCAGGCAATTCTCCTGCCTCAACCTCCTGAGTAGCTGGACTACAGGGGTGCACCACCACGCCCAGCTAATTTTTTTATATTTTTAGTAGAGGCGGGGTTTCACCATGTTGACCAGGGTGGTCTCGATCTCTTGACCTCGTGATCCACCCGCGATTAGTTTTTTAAACGTCAATCGGCAACAGGAAAAAAAAACAACTGCTCCTATTGATGAATATTTAGGTTGTGTCCAGTTTTTCTCCATTAAAAACTATCCTGTAAATGCACTTTTTTGCATACATAAGAATTTCTCTAGAATAATTTCCCAGAGATAGAACGACAGACCTGCTGGATCCAAGGACTATCTTTTCTATCTCTCTTTCTCTCTCTCTGTCTCACTCTCCATTTCTCTAGCCTCTGTTTTAATAGGTGTTGGCAAATTTCCCTCTAAAAAGAGCATATTAACCCCTGCCCCGAAAAAAAGTGGCATTTTTCCTTCACTCTGAAAAGTCTTTGACAACTCACTTCATCTCCTTGTGTTTTATTTGCTTATCTTTAAGTGGAAAATAATAACCCTACCCTGCCTACACACAGGGTTGTGATGAAGACATCAAAACTGAGATCCGTTTTTAAAATTTCTTTTATTTTTGTTTTTTTCCTTTATGCAAACACATGCTATTTTGACAAACAAAACTGAAATCCGAATACGATTTTACAAACAAGGTGTCATCTACTATGATATGGGGACCTTAAACATTTGGGGATAAGACTCCTCTGACTTTGTCTTTGTCCTTTTCCTGAGATATTTTGGGCAATCCTGGCTCTTATTTTCTTGCTCTTTCTAGCTCTCTCTCTCTCTCTCTCTCTCTCTCAAACACAATATGTATATTTAAACCTTCCAGGTATAGATGTACTCCATGTTTAAGTGTTTATTCTATCAATTTGAATCATTTTATGGGAACAATTACCAATACTTAAATAAACACATTTTAAGAACTGCAATTGTATTCATCCTGGTGTCTAGTCCTTCTGGCAGTAAGCTCAACGTCACCTAGAAACAGGAAGAAATTTGACTTGTAATACAGAGCATAACAGTGAATCCATTACAGGGAGTTTGTACTTTTGGGTGGTGGTGGAGGACTAGACAATATTTCTTCATACAGAAAAGAAGCCCAGAATGAAGTAGAAGGTTCAGCATGTTGTATACCACACTTTCCACTAGATTTTGAGCAACACTGCATTGCTTAAATGTGTATACCTCTATGCTAGTGTTCTACACAATTAGAATACCCCATAAAAACTGCTGTTAGTCTATTTAATTGGTTCCTCTCCTGTCCTCCATAAGCCAGATGGTAACTGCTAGATCCTCTAGGCGTGGCTGACTTCCTTGGCTCCCTCAATTCCTCATTCAAGAATAGATTAGGCATCATTGTGTCTTCCTTCCTCTCCCCTCATTTGACCTGATTAAACCTTCAGCCTTGGCCCAGATCTTTTCCATTGGTATCATGACCTACTTTGCATCCCTTTAGCACCATGAATCACCAGTTGGTAACAATATTTTGGCAGGGCAAGGTGGCTCATGCCTACCTTTCCAGCACTTTGGGAGGCTGAGCCAGGTGGATCACTTGAGCACAGGAGTTAAAGACCAGCCTGGGCACCATGGTGAAATCCTGTTTCGATGAAAAATTTAAAAAATCAGCTAGGTGTGGTGGCCCATGCCTGTAGTTTCACCTACTCGAGAGGCTGAGGCAGGAGGATCCCTTGAGCTGGTAAGGTCAAAGCTGCAATGAACCATGATCATGCCACTGCACTCTAGTCTGGGTGACAGAGTGAGACCCTGTCTCAAAAAAGGAACTGAAAGCAATGCTTAGAAGAAAGTGGAGTGATCAGGATTTAGGAAAATCTGCAGTAGCACACATTTGGGAGAGCAGTTGCTTACATTTGGCCTTTGAAGGATAATGTTTGGTAAAGAGATGCCATCACAAAATTCAACAGGATTAAAATTATTTTTGAGAATTGTGAAACTAGAGATCACTCTGTCTTGAAGAAGAGAAATTATGTTTTAGGCACTTAGGCAAATAGAGTCACATGTCTGTACATATCTATAAGATGACTTTCTTTAGAAAATAGTGGTGGATTGGTGATGGGAAACAGTGTTGCAAAGCTGAGTTGAATAATTAAAAAAAAAACTCTTATTCTACTTATTCTAGAATGCAAAACTCATTACAAAA